AGTAGTAGTAGTAGCAGTAGTAGTAGTAGCAGTAGTAGTAGTAGTATAGTAGTAGTAGTAGTAGTAGCAGCAGTAGTAGTAGTAGTAGTAGCAGCAGTAGTACTAGTAGTAGTAGCAGTAGCAGTAGCAGTAGTAGTAGTAGTAGTAGTAGTAGTAGTAGTGGTAGTGGTAGCGGTAGTAGTAGTAGCAGTAGTAGTAGTAGCAGTAGTAGTAGTAGTAGTAGTAGTAGTAGTAGTAGTAGTGGTAGTGGTAGTGGTAGTAGTAGTACGAGTAGTAGTGCGAAACCCTATACAAACCCTAAACCCAACAAACCCTAGGCCTGAACCCTAACAAACCCTAAACCCTTACAAACCCTAAACCCTAAACCTTAACAAACCGTAAACCCAAGCAAACCCTCAACCCCAAGAAACCCTAAACCAACACAAACCCTGAACCCTAACAAACCCGAAACCCTGACAAACCCTAAACCCTAAACCCTAGCAAACCCTAAACCCCAAGAAACCCTCAACCCTAACAAACCCTAAACCCTAATTACCTTCAATCCGAGGATATGATGACTGGTGGGCAATCTGAATGGTATCATCCTCTACGGCTGCAGCTCTCCGGCAGGAAATGGGCCTAGCTTGCACTTAAACTTATTACTTCTTCGACAGCAGCTGTAAGCCCTCAAGCTTATCGCACATATTAGCTACCTACACTAGTACTTGTACAGATCTAGACAGCATGGCGACATCGTCGAGTCGCGACGACACAAAGACGTCGACGAAGAGGGAGATTGCTCCCGAACTATTAATCACATTTTCTGCTTCATTCTTTACTGCAATTAAACTAGATATAGCTGTGTATTGATATATGATATATATGTACACCCTAATACTAAATCCTGAACCCTCAACTCCTAAGCCCTAAGGTCGGGCTTATGCTACACCCTGAACCCTCAACTCCTACACCCTGGGTCGGGCTTATTTGTAATTGCACCTCAGGACATCGAGCCTGACAGCAAGCTTAAGGTCCAAAAAACAAATGCGGGCAGCACTAGTAATTACGACGACAAGAAGACCTCGGACGATGTGGCGACGAACATGCCTAAGAAGAAGCCGCAGCTGCAACCCTCCGCCAAAAAAATCACTGTGATTATCGAGGCTTTGGCTACTCTCCTAGGGTTTAAGCCTAAGCTCTAGGGGTCATTTTCACCAAAGGGTCCTAAGAACCTATATACGGGGGATACTTGCCTAACATTCCTATTTTGTAGAAACCCTACATAATCTAAAATAAGGTATTTAATAAATCAGGACGATTCCTCCTCGAGCAGCTCTCCTCCGACTCCCCCTCCTACGAAGGAAGAGCTGATGGATAAGTTCCAGCGACTGCTGGAATGAGCGGAATGGAAAAACAGCCTATTACCACTAAAGCTTCAGCTTACCTAAATAGGGACAGCCCTTAGGCTGAAACTATATTAGTGCGATATGAAGTTTCTACGGCTGGCCTCAGAGCCCCGAGAATATCCTAAACCCGAATCCTTCCAAAGAGCTTCGAACCTGATTTAATTCGTAACCCTGCCCAACAGCCCAGCAATGCCTGTAATCCAGAAAAGTGGCTATCTAGATTTTACCAGGTAGCAGCGGTAGTACTAGTAGCTATAGTAGTAGTAG